ACAGCCTCTTCCCAATATGCGTTTTTGCAATTTGCATATATGCAAAAACGCATAAAAACGCATGATTGCACGGGCCCGCCCGGTGCGTTCCAACCTGGGTTGCATATGTGCAAATGCAAAAACGCATATTAGCAAGAGGCTGTCTGTTTGCTTGCACTTCTTGTCACCCACTTTCAACTCGAGAATCGGAAATGCCAGGAGGGTGAAACTTCGGGAGTATGTACCCTCCCGTCTTAATACCATCACCCGCGTACGCCTAGATGATGCGTACGGATGCTTCAGCAAAATACGCAAAATTTTTTGGCGAGAAAGCAATCTTGGGAAACGGAGAAGATAAAAAGCTGAAATTTTGCATGGATATTCTCTGCGCATGTGTGAACTAAGAGTTCAAATTCAGCTTTAAATACATCGCGTACGAACACGTCAAATTTGTCGTTAGCAAAGCGCCAATTCTGGAACTAAGCTAACTAAAGCGTCCAAACTTCACGAGAAAATTTATTTCCCACAATTTTAAAAGCGGAGTTAAAGTGGCGTATGCCTCGGTCGGGAGTTCCGATACGCCAAATATCCCACGTAACAAGAAGCGATTTCGCTAATCAGACATGCTAGGAAACTGAAACTATGCACTACCTCTCTCTAAATAGTCAGGCAAGAGAGATGTATCTTTTCGATAACGCTAGTATATCCCGTAAGGCAACAAACGCACGATATCACCTTCCACCAACGTCTACGTCCCACATGCCGACAGAGCAAAATTCAGGTTCCAAAACTGCTGATATCCTCGTATCTTTTTACCCAGATGGAATGATAAGTTACATTTCAAAGTAAATATTGCCTGATTATGAATGATTGAAAGAGCAAAAAGTATCTGTGTACATTTATATTTCACCAAAGGAACACTTCACTGCTTCCGTGTGGGTATGAGCGTCAGCGTAAAAGACACTCAGCAAAGCCAAAGCAAGCACAAATCGTATCAGCACAGCACAAAACATCTGTAGGAAACTGTGCAAAAACGCGTGATTGCACCGGCTAGCCTGGTGCGTTCCAGCCTCGTTTTATTTGCACACCATCACATTATAGGAACAAACTAACGTGTCATTCGTAGAAATCGGTGGTCAAGGCGGAGGGGGGGAGGGTAATGCTGTGATAAAAAGAATAAGGCAATTGGGGCAGAACACCACTTTTGTAAAAATTCTGTGGGCGTATTCTCTGAGGCTTGAAGTGCTTCCTACAGTCTTTGATTCAACTGATGCAAATTTTCGGTGGCAAGCGGCCACGCTGGGCCTTTTACCTTAACCTGTAGATTACGACATATAAACACGCAAGAACTATTTGACGTTGCCTTGATAATCTCACACGGGTATCATTCGAAGATATGGAACATCTGCTAGTTGCAGTTGTTAGTGCGCGAAGATATACAGCGGTCTGTTCTGACTGTTTAAATTAAGACTAACATGATTTTTTGGCGTAAAACGGGTTATCACGTCCTACGAAGAGAAAAAATCACGTATCACTTTAAAACACTTCCTGAACCATACTTCCCCTTCTATTCTAGAGCCTCTCCCCACGTACGGACACTAAATGGACAAAAAGATCAATAATTTTGCTCTGCAAAATAATCACATTACGAACAAATACGCAAAATGGCGCAAGAAACGAGTAAAATTCATTCTTTCTCTTGCAATTATGCCCTTAAAGTAAGCACTAAAGCAAAAAAAAAAAGAGGAAATGATGGAAAGGAGGAAAAGACATAGGAAACAAGGCAAATCTTGATCTGACGTAAGGCATCCGTTCAGTTCCAACTCAAGGGAACTGATAAAATGCGGAAAAGATTGTATATATTTTGGTTCTCTACACTGTTCCAGATTCCTAAAAAATCTCTCACCGGCTTCTCAGAATAAAACAATGTCATTATCGGATCCATCCTATCGGTAGCTGCTGGGGAAGCAACTAATAGCAGTAATGGTTAAGAGGAGGACCACCGCCCCCGAAGTGCCGGAAGCAAACTCAACCAGACTGCACCCAATACACATACATGCGGCCGTCGCTCCCCCACCCTTAAACTCGCTTTTAATACCCAAAAGACCATCATTTTTAGCCATTTAGTCGAAAAACCTTTATCCTCCCTTCCTCTCCTTCCTGTTTCCCATGCCATCTCTAACGATTTCGGCTCTGTTAACATTGACATCACTACGCACGCACTTTATTACTTTTTTGCCAGACAAAGGTAATGCTGAGTGAATGTCTCAGTCATTACGTTAAGTAACTATGTCACGCCGAACCTGACCAGTGAAGTCACAACCCTGTGCTCGGTGACTGCCTCTCATATGCGTTTTGGCAACGAGCCTGTGGCCTACTGTGTTTCCGCTTGTGTTCTGTCAAAAAATTGAGTGGTTCCCCTTTTTATAAAAAGAAAAAAAAAACAGAAAAGTGTTACGTAGTATAAAGCAAAATCCACAGCAGCTCTCTAATGAGCTGAAGCACCGATGTTATAAGGCAACTTCACTAAGCAAGAACAGGCGTTTAGGAGATCTTCAAAAACATTAAAGTACCCGGAATTACAAAAAAAATAACAAGTAACACATCCAAGAAAAGATTATGATGGCACTGTGAGGGGTGGAATCGGAGAGATGGGATGGAAAGAGGATAAAATCATTGAGTTTTTTTTTTTTTTCTTAGTGGGAAGGGGGCGGCACTTGCTTCACTGCTTTTAATACAACATTGTAACAGAAACAAAACAGTTAACGACGCAAACATAGCATTCACCGAATTAAACCACTCTTCACAATTAACACATTTAAAAAGAAAAACTAAACCGGACACTGCCGCAATCCCATCGAAAACTGAGTTATCCCGACGGTAATTTACTCCTGGAATGATTTTTTACATCTACACAAAGTTTCTGGCAAATACAGAAATCCTAGCAGCAAACCTTGTTCCGCATTACGCACTGTTAAGACTGTTTTCCATTCAGCTGATATTTCTCCTATGTTAACTAGTCAAAAGAAAACTGCAACGAGAGTTTTTTGTAATCCCCCAGCTTTTTGCCAGCCCGGAGCTTTTTTCGAGCAAATTCGCCGCAACGACAGAACTGGGTCAAGAAGGGTGTAGCTACATCCCAATGACACAGAGCGTTTCACAACGGCACAGAGCGTTTTACAGCGACATGGAGCGCTGATGAAACTTCGGCTTCTATTCACCGAGCACCATAGTTTGAAAGGTTGACATTACGGATCTGAGGAGCCATTACAGTGAAAGGGGTTTAGTTCTCAAAATTTCAGGTTTCTACAAGGTCTGCTAGTGAAACAGAAAACGGTGGAACAAATGCAACCTCGTCAATGCACGTTTTGCATCCGGTAAAAGAAGCACGAAAAAATGAAAACAAAAATTACCACGCAGCCCGGACATCTGCAACAGCGCGACGAACAATTTCTTTTTTCCTTCGAGAAACATTTGCCAAACTACACATAATTGGACTGCAAAATGGTAAGAGTGTCGGGACTGGCCATCGCTGCGCTATTAAGTACAAGCACTCCAGTGTCGCCAAACAAATTTTCTGGAAAAAAAGTGTAAAAGAATGAAGTCTAAAAAAAAGTGAGAAAGAAGCGCAAAAAACTCGCCATAGAAAGTCTGTACGTGGTTTTGTCGGTCATTTTTCCTTGCTATCTGCGAAATTTGCATTTCTGAGAAACTTCTTCTTTTCAAATGCACAACGGGTTTTTAGCAAATTTCTGTACCCCTACTGTCAAAATTTTGCATCCATGAACTTCCACAAGCTCCAAATCAATTTTCGCATTTTTTTTCTTCTCTACACAGATGATTTCGGCAACAGTGCAACAGAAAACAATCAACCAACTCTAAATGGGCCACTGGAAAAACCATGGTTTGCCCGTCAAAACCACCCTGCTAATCTTTACAGAGCTCTTGCTGCTAGAAGAGTAAAGCATACAACATTCGCAGCCGTGCTAATTGTTGTTAAACGCTTTTATCTTACTCTGCAGCAATTACGTCCTTCAAGTTTATCACTTTTCAAATGCCAAGAGAAAAACCCTATCACTTGAGAAATAAATCCTAGTGTTTTCTTATAAAAAATTTTTGCCACCGGTAATTTTGTTCCGACATACTGTCATAATTGTTTGCATACTCCTTCTCTGCTTTCCAAAACCACTGGCATTGTTATCTTTTTGTTAGCTTCAAGTGCAATTTTCAAACTTAAACGACAGACGGTCAAATGCACAGGCCTGAACATTTTTGACATCTTTTCCTTCTTGCCTTATGATATGATGATTGAGATAGTTCGTGAAAATTCAGCAGTGTATGAAACATTGCACTTATCAGAAACATTCAATATCAGTACGCCTTTAAAATGGCAATTTTGATCATGAAGACACTCCTCGGTCAACTGACCGATTTCAGTGGGGATCAATTGAACAATTCCCATATAAAACTTATTGCCAGGCCAGCGCAGAACTGGCCAAACAAATTCATACCATTCGCGTTATGTTTCACTTGAAGACAACAAGCTTCATCTCGTTACTACGGTATAACCGCATTACCGATGCAGAGGCACCAGCGGTAAGACAAAGGTTTCTTTACCACATCGTCACGGACTATGAAACTGTGTGTGTGTGTTTGTGTGTGTGTGTGTGTGTGTGTGCATGAACCAAAAGAGAAGTGGGTGATATGCGACGAGCAAGCAAAATCCGGGCTAAGCCAAGAAAAAAAGGTAATTACTAAAACTCGG